CTGGAATAGGATAAAGCATTTGGGCACAGTCTGGCTCTGGTTTAAAGGGTGGCTTTGGTCAGAGCAGTGAAGGGAACAGAAAAACCATCTGGAACAGAACATTATTTGGAATTATATGTGCATCCAAGGGATTCCTGTGCCATGTTTTGCAGGAGCAGCTATGGAAAGCTCTTATCCAAGAAGAAGGCTGGAATAGGTGAGAGATCACCTGCACAAATAAAAGAAAATACAGAGTTGGAAATAACAAGCCATGGATTTTGTCCTTAGGAGCACAGGAATCCTGTGGCACAGCCAGGGAAGTGAGGTGAGACCTGGAGCAGCTTCCCCAGCTGAGATCATTTCCACAGCATCCAGAAACTCTCTGGAAAAGATGTTCCCATTATTTGATGGGCACAACTTCAAAACAAGATAGGTGACAATTGAGAAATTCTCCAGAATTTAGGGAATTTTACCCCCCCTCTTCCCTGTTATTCCCCAAAAATATAAATTTCCCTCCCTCCAACTGCAGAGGTGCAGCACCAGGGCAAAGCTGGGATGATGGTACAACTTTGGTCTCCTTTCATGCTGATAAAACTTTCAGGTTCTGAATTCTTCTTGCTCTCACCCATGCCCAAGTTTGAGAGTCTCCACACCACATTATTGTTTAACTGTTTCATTCCAGGTCCATAAAATCTGTCTCCTCTTGTTTGCTCCCCCACAAGGACTAAATCAGCCCTTAACCCTCCTTGGGATCTTGGGATTCACATCTGAAACCAAAAATAACCTTTAGGATACAGAGGTCATCTTCCTCAAGAGAATCTTGATGGTCTTTTGATCCCTCAGCTTTTTTAATCACAGGGTGAGCTTGGGTGGGCTCATGGTGGAAATCTGAGTAAAGCCTGGGCATGCTGTGCTAAAGTTAGATCCAGGGCCTATGCAAACTCCAGGACTGACACACACAGCCTGTCTTCCCACTCTTTTTCAGGTGGAAAGTCAGTGATTCACACCCAGAGGCTTTGGAGTGCCTCTAAACCCCCCCACTTTTACCTCTGAGCTGCCCTGGTTCCACCCAGCTCCTGCCAAGGGAGAATGGTTGGACCAGGAATTTGGCAGCTTGGGTTACTGAGCAGGATCTTCCTCCAGCTTGTATCCACAGAGGCTGTGGGCAAGCTTTGCTAGAAAATGCTTTCAATTCCTGAAGAGGAGGAGTGTGAACAGGGGGGATAAGGTGGATCTCACCAGGGCATCCTGGCTGTGCTGGGCCTTTGATCAAGCACTGGGGAAACCCTCAGCAGATTCTCCTCTCCCCACCCTGTGGTGATCACACATCCTCTGAACAGAGACAGAGCTGTCCCAGGATTTCCCTGGGAAGCTGTGAGAAAGCTCAGAGAAAGAATTAAAACAATTATTATCTCAATCTCTGCACCTGGCAGGCAATCTCTGTTTGTCAAAGATGTTTACAAGAAGGAGTTGTCCCTTCTTGACCAATAGGTGAGAGAAGATTCCTAAAGGCCAGTCAGGTCTTAGGTCCACCACTGTTTCTATAAGAACTGTGGATTTCTAATAATAAAGTGCCTTTTCATGCCTTCTGATGATGGAGTTTCTGTGTCACCTTTGTCCCCAGTACCCCTTTGGTGACAGCACCCTGCTCTCTCTGTCATCCCTCAGGCTGCTGCACTCTGCCTCTGCTCCAGGCACAACCAAAACCTGCAGGGAGCTCCTGTAGGGCCAGGGAACAAAGCCATTGCAGGGAAACCTTTCCAGCAAGCCAAGGAACCCTGGGGTTTCAGCAGCCACCCCAGCTCAGGGTGTGACTGCTCTGGGCACAGGCTGGACCTGCAGTGGCAGGAACTGTGTGTCCCTGCTCCTGGGGGTCTGTTTTTAAATTCCTGGCATAAAACCCAGGTTGGACTCCAAGTTTCAGATGCCTGACCTGAGGTCTGAGGAGAAATACCCTTGAAGCACATTTACTGACTGTGTGCTCTCACAAAAATTGCTTTTTGGCAGGAAGGAAAGTATTTTAGAAGACTGAATCAAGCAATTTCAAAGGCTAACAGAGCATGATTTGGGCACAGCAGTAATTTAATGCTGGTTTTGCCATTGGAGTATCAAGAATTTACTTACATTTTTTCTGTAAATCAGCATGAGAGACCCCACTGCAAACAGAGATTCTGAGAAGCAAGATTAAAACTGGACTGGACCAAGCCTGTGGCAGTCTCAAGGTCACTCTCACTGCTCACTGATGCTCCAGGGCACATCTGTGACAGAGCTGAGCCCACCCCAGGACAGAATGGAGCAAATCCCACCCCAGAGACAAGCAGAGGGCACTGTGATGAACCTCCTGTGACCCACTCGTGGATCCTGTACCCAGAACCCAAAGAAAACAACCAAAGAATTCAAAGTTTATTCTTTAAAAAAGTTATTTAAGAAGCAAAATAATTTACTTCAATCCAAACCAAAAGAGATGCATTATTGAAAGCAAATAATTAAACAAAGTAACAACAAATTAGCCCTTGGGTTAAAAGTCCAGATCCCAACATTTCCCAGCCATCCTGATGGCTACCACAGGCACACACTCAAGGTTTGGGGTTTTTGAGGAGCACAGACAGGTCAGAATGTGATCCCCCACAGGCCTGAGGCTGCTTGAAATCCAATTCTAAGGCTGAGCTGTACTAAAAATGATGGCAGCTTAAAGATCCTGGTTAAAATCCAAAGTCCCAGCAAGGACAAGGACAGAATCTGAGCAAGAGCACGGAGTTGTTTGAGCAAGAACACGGAGTGAGGACACAGAGAAACAACCACAGGATTCCACTGGCTCCACTGAGCTGTGCTCAGCACAGCAGCAGAAACATTTCTTCCAGTCATTGGCACTTGGAAGTTCTGAACAAGAGCTTTACCCTTTTTTAATATTTTAAATATTTTACCCCAAAACTTCTTCATGTCTGTTCTATCCAGCAAGGGCAGTGACATCAGTTTGGCACTAGTGCAGAGTTGTGCTGTTCTAAATAACAATATTTGGACCAAATCTACTAAACCACCTTTTCCAGGGACCTGTCTTGTGCAAAACCTTCTGTGCTTATCTTTTAATAGTTTCCCCCAGTTCACAGGGCTTTGTCCTTCCAGTTCTTGGATTCCACCAAACCCCGGGTTCTCTGTGAGGCAGGTGAAAACAAATTACAACCATTCAGTTCACTCCTGACTAGTACAACACCCTGATTTTGTATTTTTTGCTGGATTTGGAACTACACTGATGGACTTGGGAGTATCACCTGTGCAGGTCAGCTCTGCAGCACCCTAAAAACTGAGAAAATCCTAAAAACCATTCTAAAGGTTCCAGAGGTAACACAAACACAGACCTGTCCTCACCAGGGCTTTTTCCCTTTTCAGGTTTTATAGAGCCCGAGAGAAAGGGAACAGCAAAGAGCAGCAGATGCATTTTCCAGTCAGTTCCCACACATGGATGAGAATTCCCAGCCTTTGGAGCTACAGCTGGTACATTTTACTGCCAACCAGAGCTGAGCAGTGGGGAGCACTGTATGATGAACCTCCATCCAAATAATTCTCCAGGTTGACCACACACCCTTCAAACATCAAATGCCAGAGGCTTCCCAAGGCCACAGGCAGCTGTGCTCTGGCCAGGAAACAAATTCCTGCATTTCCCAAGAAATCAAACCCCATCCGTGGGCCTGGATGACAGAATGTCACCATTGAGTGTCCTCACAAACTCCACACTGCCCTTCCTGCTGGCTCCACGTGACCAAATGCGTATCCCAAAAGCTTTTCCTCATTTCCCAGGGGTGTTGTTATTAACTTGCAGCCCTTGTGCCACACAGCTCTTCAGGAGCAGGGAAGGCTTTCACAGAAAATCTTCCTGACAAAGCCTTCTCAGCCCTGGCTGTGCAGGGGGGCAGCTCTGCCAGGTTTAACCTGCACTCATGGAATGGTTTGGGCTGCAAGGAGCCTTAAAGCTCATCCCATGACACCTTCCACTGTCCCAGGCTGCTCCATCCTGGCCTTGGACACTTCCAGGGATCCAGGGGCAGCCACAGCTGCTCTGGGCAACATCAAACAAACAGAACTCGAGCCAATGGTCCCCTCAATTCTGCCCACCACTGTGTGTATGTTGCTGGAAAATAATACTTTATGTTAAATTTTTTTCTGGATTTAATTCTTATCAGTCACGTCAGTCAAGGTTAAAATAAATCGAAAAAAGTATTTATAAGGATTATCACAGATAAAGAAGATGTGATGCAGATTGATCCTCTTCATTCCAAGAAGAGAATTAAGACTGTAAGTAGTGAAGGAAGCAACATCAAAAGGAAAAAATTCTTCTCTCTCTGTTTAGATTTCCAATTCCATTTGAAATTGAGCACTCTAAATTAAGATGTGTGACTGACACCAACAACCTGAAACTGAGCCTCCTGCTCTGCTGGCCTGGCACTGACCAAATGCTCCCTCTGTTGGCTGAGGGCTCCTTCCTCCTCCTCCTCCTCCTCCTCCTCGCTGAATCCAGCAGGGCAGAGCCCAGCCCAGCAGCACAAGGACAGGGGAGGGCACAGCACCCCAGGGCACAGGAGGCTCTGCAGCACAGAGCACACCTGGGCACCAGGTAACCAGGGGAGGGTGTTCTGTTCTGGGAACACCTGGCTCAGCCCACAATTCCCTGGCTCAGAGAGCCCAGAATTCCACCAGTCTGTCCCACACCTCCTGTGGAGCCATCACTGAGCTCGTTTCCTTCCTCATTTTGCAAGTTGCTGCAATCAGAAGCTGGCTCAGGTGCCTGTGGCAGCTCTCAGCCTTCTCCCCTCCATCACAGAATCCCAGGATGGTTTGGGTTGGAAAGGACCTTAAAGCTCATCCCACTGAGCCCTGCCATGGCAGGGACACCTCCCACTGTCCCAGGCTGCTCCAGCCTGGCCTGGGACACTTCCAGACACTTCCTGCACCCCTGACAGAGTCAACCCCGACCTCCCCCACTCCTTCCCTGACAAGGAAACTCCAACTACATTTTACAGTCTAGAGACATTTTGAAGAGACTCTTTACAGTCTGTGATAAGAAAATAATTCAGAATAAAACAATTTGCAAGTTACAGAGAGAGCTTAATAGCAGCTGTCCAAAGCAACCTCCAGTTACCAGATTAATTAGTGAGAAGCTGCCCAGAAATGTTGGCAGTTCATGTTAAAAATGAACAGCTGACAGGTTTGGTCCAACTTGGAAGAGATCTGAATGCTGCAGGAAAACAATACAGAATATAAACTGTTCCACCCACAAAGAAAGTAAAACACAGATGCAGTGTGTCCCCTCCCTTGTCCAAGAGTCTCTCAAGTGCCTGCTGGACCTTCCAGCCTCCAAATTCCTGCTGGAGGATCCTCTCAGGCCCAGATCACCCACAGCACACTTGCCTGCTTGACACAATGAGCTCCCAAGAAATTCCAGTCCTTGGGGTTTTCCTCAACCCAAGGGACAACTTCAAATCTTCTTAGCAAACAGGCACTTAGTCAGGAAAGGGTTTCCTTTTTATTACAGAAATGGAGGATCAGGTAGGTGGCACTCCTGGCACTGGAGATGTTGCACTTTTGCTGTACAGGTGCACAGAGAGCAGACACCCAGCTGAGAGGGGACAGGGGCACTGCTGGTGGCACAAGCCCGTGTGACACTAACTGTGCCACTCCTCTGACAGCACTGCACGGGATCCAACAGACAGGGGACACACAGCACTTCTAGCTTTTACTCTAGAGGTAAAGTGTCATCTTTTTCACAGCATTTAGTCTCTATAGTTCACTTTTGTGACTGGTTTTCTTCTGGAACAAAGCCAGGTAACACAGTGAGAGAAGAATCCCAGCACGTCCCGAGGTGCTGCTGCTCCGTGAGCTGAGCAGGGAGGTAGAGGCCATGGATGTTCTCTTCAGATGGAGCACGGAGAAGGTCCTTGTGCTAATTAACTCTGGTGCCCAGAGCCTGTCCCTGGCACCCAGACACTGCAGGGATCAGCAGGAGAGGCAGCACAGATCGAGGCTCGTCCAGCAGCTGCACCTGAACCACGTTTTCTTGGCATCTGGAACAGAAAGGCACCTCCAATTAGCACTAATTAGCTCAGTCCTGCTCTGGGGTGGATGTGCAGTGCAGCACAGTCCTGAGCTGGTCTGGCTGTTTTCATAGTCACGAGCAACATCTTTCAGGGAATGGTTGAGAGGAATTTCCCTCAGCTGGGAACTCAGATTCCATTATTTGCACCCTTTTATTTGGTTAATCCTGGAATCAGCACGTTCCAGAACTCAGATTCCATTATTTGCACCCTTTTATTTGGTTAATCCTGGAATCAGCATGTTCCAGAGGAACACAGCTCGAGGGGAGCTGTGCAGGAGTCAATCACTCAGCTGTGCACACCCCTCTTTCAAGGTGTTTCTTCAGAAATTACACCTTCTCCAAACAGTCCAAATGGTTTCCCAAAAGAAGGAGACAGAAAGGAATGAGACAGAAAATCACACCACTGGAATTGGTGGAAAACATGGAATGTTTTGGGTTGGAAGCAACCTTAAAGATCATCTTGTTCCATCCACCCACCAGCCAAAAGGGTGACATGAATGAAAATTCCTTTTCTTAAGCTCTGCCACCAACTTAGAGGGGAATTTTTCTTTTTTGAGCATTAAAACACTGTAGGATCCAATTGTAGGATCCATTGTAGGATCCAATTTCAGGATCCACTGTAGGATCCAATTACAGGATCCAATTGTAGAATCCATTGTAGGATCCAATTGCAGGATCTATTGTAGGATCTAATTACAGGATTCAATTGTAGGATCCACTGTAGGATCCACTGTAGGATCCATTGTAGGATCCAATTGTAGAATCCACTGTAGGATCCACTGTAGGATCCATTGTAGGATCCAATTACAGGATCCACTGTAGGATCCATTGTAGGATCCAATTACAGGATCCACTGTAGGATCCATTGTAGGATCCAATTACAGGATCCACTGTAGGATCCATTGTAGGATCCAATTACAGGATCCACTGTAGGATCCACTGTAGGATCCAATTACAGGATCCACTGTAGGATCCATTGTAGGATCCACTGTAGGATCCACTGTAGGATCCATTGCCGGATCCACTGTAGGATCCATTGTAGATTCCAATTCTCTGGCAATCAGTATGTTCTATAAAAGGGGAAACCCCACCTACAGCCACCAGCACTTCTGAGGCACACTCAGCAGCTGCTGGAAGGCAGAGCAGGCAGTGCAGCAGAGGGCTCCAGCTCACCTCCTCACATGACAAGGCAGGACAATCCCATGCAGCCCTGGTTCCCATCCTCGCTGCTGTTGAGCTTCTTCATCCGGTACTGCCGGATCTCCCTCACCAGGGTGTAAAAAGCATCTTCCACACCCTGAATGCAAACACAAGGTCAGGTATTTTCTTCCCTGAAGCTTTTGAAATCACCGATCTGTCCATCCCAGAGCCCCTTAGTGGATTTGAAAGACACAATTCTGCAGGAAGAGCAGCACCCAACTGACCCCGTGGTTCCTACGAGGAGGAATCCCACAGGGATGTCCCAGCCTGACTCCTCCTGGGATAACAACCCCTAAAGTAAACATGGAAAACTGTATCTCAGGGAGGTTCCATGCAGGAAACCGGCTACTCCTTGCCTAATTTGAGAATTCTTAGAATTCAGCTCTTGAGGATTTTCTGGCTGCTGCTCAATAATGGCACCTTCCCTGCTCTGTTCCCCTGGACAAGCCCACGTGGCCAAGGAGGCTCTGGAGAAGCCCATGAGTCCAGTCTGGGGAATTCTGTCTGCAATCATAATCAGCTAATTGGCTTTCATTAAGGAGCCAAGAGAACCCAGCAGGTCTGGGGTGAGCGAGCTCAGCCTCTGACAGGCCCAGGGGGAGCAGCTGAAACTCTGCTGCTCCTCCTGCCAACACTGAACGCTGCTGAAATTGGCTGGAATCAAAACTTTAACATCACTTGAAGCAGTAGAAAGTAGCTGGGTTTCTTTTTCTTCTGTGTGTTTTGTGAGATTTTACAATAAGTTTTTTATTTATTATAGTTAAAATGTGGTTTTTATTTAAGACGTAAGTATTATTTTTTAGGAATTATTTTGCAGGTATTTGTTTCTTGTTGGGAGGTTTTTTATGGTTTTGGAGGTTCATTAAGAGGGGGTTTTGGTGGCTGCATTTGAATGCTTTGATAGTAAAGGTGAATTTTAACTTTTTTTGGGGCATGTGTTATTTTTTTCTCCTTATGTAATTTTCCACAAAACCACTGTAGGTCTCTTTATCTCTGCATTTACTGGTTTTAGTTATGTTTATTATTTTGAGGGGGTTTTTTTCCCTAGTTTGTTTTTAAGTTTTATTTAATAATTTCAGGGGAACTGAAATTTTTTTATTCCCTGTTATTTATCAGCATAACCCACTTGAAAGGAAGTCAGGCTGAGTCTGAAGTGATTCCTGCACTGGCCCAGCCCAGAACTCTTTCAAGCTAAGAGTGAGCGGGGAAATAAAAGCAAAAAACTGTAAAGGGATTGAAAAAAATGCTTCTCCTGTAAATAAGGCAAAAGCACATGGCAAAATGTCCTTGCTGCATTTCCCAGGAAGAAGTCAGGCCTGGGGGAGCCCCTCACCTGTCTCGTTTTTGCAGAGGTCTCTATGAAGGGGATTCCGTAGCTTTTTGCCAGTTCTTGGGCCTGTTTTGTGTCCACTGTTCTCGTGGGCAGATCACACTTGTTCCCCACCAGCACCATGGGCACATCATCTGAGTCCTTCACTCTCTTGATCTGTTCTCTTTAGGAAGACAAATTATAAAAAAAAAAATAAATTAGGAAGTATTTTCTAATAGTAAAACTGGTTTAGTTCAGTATTCAAACAACCTTGTGCCACAAAAACACATTAAAGGTGAGCAGGGCCTCAGGGGTCAGCAGGATGGCCAAGCACTTTGTACACTTCATTTTCTGTCCATGGATAACCCCACTCTGGATTTCTCACCCATTTCCTCAGAGATGACATTCTGTAGCTGCAAATGGCATCTGGTTCACAGAATCCCAGAACAGCTGGGCATGGGAGGGCCCTCTGGAGATCACCAGCCCAACCCCTCTGCCAAGGCAAGATCTCCTGGAACAGGTACCACATCCTGGAGGGTTTGGAACGTGTCCAGGGAGACTCCACAACTCCCTGGCAGCTGCTCCAGGGCTCTGCCACCCTCCTAGAAAGTTTTTCCTCATGTTGAGGTGGAACTTCTTGTGGTTTAGTTTATGGCCACTGCTCCTTGTCCTGTCCCTGGGCACCATGGAAAAGAGTCTGACACTGTTTTCTTGGCACTCCTTGGAGATATTTATATGGATTGATTAAAAAAAAAATCTGGATAAAAATCATTTGTCTTAACTGACTAAAGGTGGTGGTGAGGCCCTGGCACAGGCTGCCCCTGGATCCCTGGCAGTGTCCAAGGCCAGGCTGGAAGGGGCTGGGAGCAGCCTGGGGTGGGGAAGGTGTCCCTGCCATGGCAGGGGGTGGAATGGATGGGCTTTAAAGTCTCTTCCAACCCACCCCGTTGTGATTCCATGCAGTGGCACAGAACAGTGGCAAAACTTCCTGACAGAAGTGGGAGATCCAATCTTTGTTCCCGAGCCTTCACCGAGGCACCTCAGTGCCTCATTCAGGCAGTGTCCCTGCCCCTGGGGCAGCCCAGCTGTACCTGTAGAGGTTGATGTCGGCGAAGGATTTGCTGTTGTTGATGGCGAAGACGCAGAGGAAGCCCTCTCCTGTCCTCATGTACTGGTCCCTCATGGCGCTGTACTCCTCCTGCCCCGCCGTGTCCAGGATGTCCAGCAGGCACGTCTCGCCATCGATCACCACCTGCTTGCGGTACGAGTCCTGCAACACAGGGCACTGCCAGTGAGCCCGGCACGGCTCCTGCCACCCGGGGCACGGGTGAAACGTAAAAATAATCACAAAAACGCAGGAGGAGCTTTGCCAGCTGTTCTGCAGAAGCTGTGGCTGCCTCTGGATCCCTGGAAGTGTCCAAGGCCAGGCTGGACAGGGCTGGGAGCAGCCTGGGATGGTGGAAAGTGTCCCTGGCATGGCAGAGGTGGAACCAGATGAGCTTTAAGGACCTTTCTAACCCAAACCAGTCTGAACCTTGTGATTCTCATCCGTCTCTGATGAAAAACTACCACTATCTAAAACTACAGTATTTTAAATATTACCCAAATTATCCCATTTTAAATGAGACTCTAAGCCCTGCCATCCTTTGTTACAAAACACAGAACTCACGTTGCTTTAAAGGAATTCCTCTACAGGAGAAGAAAATGAAAGACAATCACAAACAGCCTCCCTGCGAGCGGAGCCTCCGCCCTGCACAGCCCCGTGCCGGCCTTTCTGCTCGCCTGTGGCTGCCGTGGGAGCCCGAGGCAGAACGGGGCAGGAGCCGCTCCCAGAGCCCCGGGCCGGGCCGGGCTGCGGGGCCCTGGCGGCGGATGCGCTCCCGGCCCCGGGCAGCGCCCTCGGCCCGGCGGAGCTTCCCCCGCGCCCCGCGGCCCCAGCCCGCAGCGGCCCCGCGCACCTCGATGGTGGGGTCGTACTCGTCCACGAAGTGGTTCTGGATGAGCTGGATGGTCAGCGCGCTCTTGCCCACGCCGCCGGCGCCCACCACCGGACACGGGAGGGACACGGGAGGGACACGGGAGAGACACGGCGGCAGCGGCACCGAGCCCGAAGCTCTAAACCGGGAACGGCACCGGCGCCGCATCCCGGAGCTTTCAAGGGGGAACGGCACCGGGCCCAGATCCCGGGGTCTAGAGGGGGAACCCAACCCACACCCTGTGGGTTTTAAACCGGGAACGACGTCGAGCTCTCGGGATTTGAGAAGGGTTCAAGCCAAGCTTTGCGCTTTCGGAAAGCTGCTAGTGAACAGCTGGAGCTGGCGGTTCTGGGTCAGGGGCTGCACTGCGAGCATCCTGCACCCGGAGCAGTTTTCGAGCATCCTGCACCCGCAGCAGTTTTTGTTTTAAGTGACCACAATCCCAAGAGGAAGGGGAGGCTCAGATGCCCCGGGAGGGAGCAGGAACAGGAAAATGGAATTGCAGCAGCGGGATCAGAGCACAGCCCTGCTGAGCCTGCTGCAAACACACCCCGCCAAGGAACAGAGCCGAGCAGGGGAGGGCAGAGCACAAACGGGGGTTGGACACTAATTAGAAGTGATGTAATTCGTAACCAATGAATGTGGCTGTAGGGGTAAAAAAAAAAAAAAAAAAAAAAAAAAAAGAAAAACCAAACAAAAAAATTAACCAAAATAATAAAATAAAATAAAACCAAAACAAAACAAACCCAAACCAAACCACAGTACTGCCCTCTATTCCAAAAAGTAACTCCTGATCTTTTTGGTTAAAGTAATACTTAGACCAATCATTCAGTTTTCTTGCTTGATAAAGTGTGACTGGGGAAATGGAGGGAGGGGGGCAGGGGAGGGAAAAAAAAACCAAAACAAAAAATGGGACACGGCGGGACACGGGAGGGACACGGGAGGGACACGGGAGAGACACGGCGGCAGCGGCACCGAGCCCGAAGCTCTAAACCGGGAACGGCACCGGCGCCGCATCCCGGAGCTTTCAAGGGGGAACGGCACCGGGCCCAGATCCCGGGGTCTAGAGGGGGAACCCAACCCACACCCTGTGGGTTTTAAACCGGGAACGACGTCGAGCTCTCGGGATTTGAGAAGGGTTTAAGCCAAGCTTTGCGCTTTCGGAAAGCTGCTAGTGAACAGCTGGAGCTGGCGGTTCTGGGTCAGGGGCTGCACTGCGAGCATCCTGCACCCGGAGCAGTTTTCGTTTTAAGTGACCACAATCCCAAGAGGAAGGGGAGGCTCAGATGCCCCGGGAGGGAGCAGGAACAGGAAAATGGAATTGCAGCAGCGGGATCAGAGCACAGCCCTGCTGAGCCTGCTGCAAACACACCCCGCCAAGGAACAGAGCCGAGCAGGGGAGGGCAGAGCACAAACGGGGGTTGGACACTAATTAGAAGTGATGTAATTCATAACCAATGAATGTGGCTGTTATAATGTATAAATAGTGTAGGGTTGGTGATGGGGCCTGCCGGGGGAACTCCCTGCTTTGTGAAAACTGGAAAAAAACACAGAAATCCCTCAGGGTGGTGTGAGAATTGGAGGCACCAGGACGGAGCCTGTGATGGGGACAACAGAGGTCTAGCACAGCTCCCAGTGAGGAAAGAAGAGGCTGAGCACAACGAGGCTTTTTTCAAAATCAGTAAAACTTTATTCTATTTCCATTCTTTGCCATTAACAGAAAAAAAAATTGGAGAAAGCAATGTTTTGTTTTACAAAGATAATGCATCTCCCAGAGAAGAAAACCCTAAATTGAGAATACAAAAAAAAAAAAGCACACAGACATCAACTAGTCACCTTGATGAAAGTCTCAATACAGCTATGGAAAGCCTAAGTATTTATTCTCTTACAGTACACTGGGTGCCGGCTGCAAAAAGAACAAAAAAAATGTATCCACTTCAGGCACAACTTCTTTCTTTTTAAATTTAAATCAGTAAAAGAAACTGGGTTTAGAAGCTGCAGTGTTCTAAGCAGCAGCAGATTTGTGCATTGTTTTAAATATATTTAAATTACCACACTGATGGCACACCTCAGCCTTATGAAATTCTGCACTGTCTGTTCCAGAACACTACAAAATCCACCGACCCTGGGAGAGACTTGCACTGAGCTCTAAGGACTGGCTAAAGGAGTCAAGTTAAATGAACTAGGAAAACACTGTAACATTTGGCCATCAACTCAAGGTATCTGAATGTTTGTGGAGATCTGATAAAAACAGAACTTATTCCACCCTCACATGTTCCTCAGAATTTGAGCAGAGTGAGCTGAAGTGAGTCTTCCCTTCCACTTGGGAAGGAAGATAATGCAACTGAGCACTAAGGCATAATAAACCTTGGCCAAAAACAAGGATAAAGCATAATAACTGTAGTGCAGAATTCCACAAGGTCTGCCCGAGCAGAGCTGTCTATGTTTACTCACAGAGGCAATGGAGATTGCAGTTACCAGTTGCGTTAAATGCACCATTCAAAACAAGCTTCTAAAATGTGATACTATAAGGCGCCACCTTAAAGTTCTCCAGAATGCAACTGTGCAGAAATTTAAAATGGTTTCATAAATTTAATTTTAAACATAACATGAGAAGGTGTTAAAACTGGTGGAATAGCTTCTGAGAATTTGGAGGAAGGGGTGAACAGGGAGATATTCAGTACCCTTCGGCAGCCCCACCGCACGGCCCAACGTCGCCGTGGGGTTGGGATCAGTCTATAACACCAGCCTGGCGGATCTTTCTCTCTGCACCAAATCCCTGCAAGGAAAACAAAACACACTTTTAGCTCCAGCATCACACAATCATGAAATCATTTAGGCTGGAAAAGGACTTTAAAATCATCAAGTCCAACCGTGAACCTGGCACTGCCACTGGGCTTTGAGGCAGAGCCTGGTTTGTTCCACCCAAGCAGCTCCCTTCTAATCAGTCATGTTTGTCTTCAGAAACAGAGACGGCAATAAAACAGGTTCTCTGGGGTGTTCTTTGTAGTCCAAAATAAACAGAGATTCCAAACACTTTTCTCCTGCTTATCAAGGAGTGCCAGAACGTCGTGTGAAAGCCATGTCTAGGTAAACAGACTTAATTTGCTACCTCTGAGGTTCATAAATGAAGAGCAAACTATGACAGCCAAAACAAACCATGACAGAAAGGCTCCAACACAGGCAGCAGTGGGTTGCTTCTCTCCTGTGTGCTCTTCTGAAAGCACAGCACACAGCACTGACACAGGAGACAGCACTGACATGGCACAGGGCACAGCACTGGCACAGGGCACAGCACTGGGCACAGGGCACAGCACTGGGCACAGGGCACAGCACTGGGCACAGGGCACAGCACTGGCACGGCACAGGGCACAGCACTGGGCACAGGGCACAGCACTGGGCACAGGGCACAGCACTGGGCACAGGGCACAGCCCCATGCACAAACACAACCCACCCTCACACAGCACAGCTCTCTACAGAGCCCAGGCCCCCGACAGAGGCAGCAGTGTGCTCCCCTGGGCAGGCAGGCCCTGCAGGGCTGCTGCCCTGTGTCTGTACCTTTGAGTTGTCGGGGCCCCGGGGCTGGCGGAGCACCGTGAGCCGCGGGGCGTTGGCATCGTCCAGGTTGATGCTCTTTAAACGGTTCACGAGTCTATCGGGACGCGGAGCAGCCACGGCCTTGGCGCCTTCGCTGCAAGAGAGCACACACAGGGCAGGGTCACCCCCGAGCTGGGCAAGGCACCCCAAGCTTTCACAGGCCTTGAACACAATCACTTATTGTACAGGATTGATGCTGTGTGACAGCAGAGCCGGCTGATGGCCTGGCCCTGCCCCAAACCTTGCTGTCCACACTGGATTCTGCACTAGCAGGAGCTCAGTGATCTCCAGAGGGTGTTCTTTAGGGAGCAGAGGTCTTGTGTTTACTCTCATGCACACCTAACCAGTGTATCCTACATTTGTACTGCCCAGAGAAGCCGTGGCTGCCCCATCCCCGGCAATCTCCAAGGCCAGGCTGGATGGGGCTTGGAGCAACCTGGGATAGTGGCAGATGTCCCTGATGGATTTTTAGGTTCCCTTACATGCAACCCATTCTATGATTATGTGATTCAACTGCAATAATAAAGGTTTGCAAGTTGCCATCATATCATGCCAGAGCATCAACATCTCTGAAGATGATTGGAACACAATTTTGAGACAAAAAGATTAGCTTTCTGTTACTACTGAAGTGCTATCTCATGCTTAAACAAAATAGAAATTATGCAGTCTTCTTCAAGTGCGTATATAGTTAAAAAAATGCCAGGCCAAAAAGAAGAATCTCTAAAAGATGAGTTTTCTACTTAAAAATTAAAGCTGCTCTTCAAGAAGGAGGTGGCAGCACTGTGGAGTGTGCTGGCCAAAGGCCAGCATCCCCACAGGAAAGCCATCAGTTTCCTCATCATTAACTTCCACTTGCAAGCCTGTATCCAAATTCCTCCTACAGGGGGAGTTTAAGAATAGGTTTAAAAAGAGAACAAGCCATCTGTAATTAGGAAGAGCTGGGAGTGCTGCTGCTGCCTGCTCTGGATCCCCTGGAAGAGCTGGGAGCTCTCAGGTGCGGCTGTCCCTGGAGGCAGCTGGAACCCAGAGCTCCTGCTGCAGGAACATCCAGCTCAGGCAGACCCAGCCTGCAGGGCTCTGCTGGGATGCAGACACTGTGCCAGGGTCACTCCCTTCAATCCCAAAGCCTCACCAGACACGCCACACGTTACAGGCACTGCATTTTCCTGTGCGCTGGTTCAGGATTACTGAGAACTCCACTTCATCCCCAGCCTGGAGCTCCACACCATCCTGGACTTCTTTGACATGGAAGAAGAGCTTTTTGCTGTCACCAACTTCATAGTTAATGAAACCAAACTGAAAAGCAACACATCACAAGGTTATTAATTTGCTCTGCATCCAGACAAATGCAGTAACTTACTCATCATTGTAGTTTAACTACTTTTAAATAAAACTTCAAAATTGTAGTGTCTAATAGAAGTGGAAATGCAATTTCTGCAGTGATAAGAACATTCTGTCTGAAAACAACACTTCTGGAAATCCAGGCACTCTTCCTGGCACTGTAAAGTCACATTTAAATCCTAAAGTCTATAGAACAAGTTCTGAAAACTGCCCCCAAGTGCTGGCAGCT